GAGAGGACCTCAATAACAGTAAGCGCCAATGCATGATGGTCTAGTCTACGCAAGTAATCGCGCAACATCTCCGGGCAGTTCTCCACATACCGATGCCCGCGTAGAAAGAGCAGCCACTCGCACACCGGCCAGTAGCGGCAATCCCCCGCTAAACCCTGGCGGGCACTAAACGTTCTTCGCTGCGAACAAAGACCAAAGTCGATCAATGTAAAGTCACCAGTCTTCACATTAACCAATATATTATGAGAGCATACATCCCTATGAATAATGTACTTCGATGTGACTTCCAGAGCTCTGGCCATCTGCGCTAACAGTCGGGTGCAAACACTGATTACATCTTCTACGGTATCAACTTGCTGACCAAGGTCGACCCTCCGCAGCCAATCATCAAGAGCGACAGAATCCTCTACGAGGTTCAGGACTAACAAATTCCGACGCCGGTCAAACGCAATGAGCTCGCTCAGCCGAGCATCGGCGGCACAACCCTTCCACGCTTGCATGGCTTCAGCCTCTTTCGCTCCGGACTTGTCGGTAGCTTTGATAGCAACTCGTCTATCCCCACACCGTGCTTCCCACACCGTTCCAAAAGACCCCGACCCAACTGACTTCTCTATAATGTACTCGACACCATCGATCTCTACACAATCCCCGACATCCAATTCCTCTGGTGAATCACTATCGCTCTGAAAACCATCATTATCTCAACACCCAATCGAATCGTTACCCTTGTACACTCCCCGACACGCTCAGGACTATTCACGCCAAAAACCTCCTCCTAAAAGTCAGGCAAAAAATACGTATGAGGTCAAGATCTGAGCTAAGCACATCAGAGAGCACCCCACTCACATGACTAGCAAGACCTTCGAAAGACGGTGTAGGGGGACTCAGATCGCCTAGTCTCGCCATGTCGTGAACGGACCTCGCCGACCGAACCGCGTAGGAAGGAGGATAACCTACCATAATGATAGAAAAACCCTTTAATCTAATGACAAAGAGCGTGTGCGAAATAAATGTTGAGACTATGACTGGGAGAGCTGGACGAATGCGATGAATGCAAGATACTCCCAAATATCTGAAACCGCAAGATTCAACAGCATCACAACGCTACCATGCCCAACACGCGATGCGATCCACCGCCCTCCCATTGACCCGATACTTCACGAACGCAAGCTGGAAAGCTCGATATAGCAACTTGTAACACGGTAACCTATCGGTTCACCAACAGATCATAAGAAACGTAACAATCGCTAGGAACGCTTGCTAGTAGACAATTTTTCTTTTGTGCTTGAACGAAAACGAAACCTGCGGCCCATCGTGTAGGTCGCCCAGACATCGTTTTCTTACAGCACTATCTAAGTTGTATTAGAAGCCTATAGGCTCTAGCAGTGGTGTAAACGGAAAGGTCTCATTCCCATTCCGGACACAGATATCAGACAGCAAAGGGCAACGGTCACGAAAGCAACGCCGAGGGCATCAACAGCCAGGGCGTGACATACTTTTCACTAGACGACAAGAGCACGTCCGTATCACCCTGCATGGTACGGTGACACCCAGGAAGGAGGAACTAGAGGACAACTAAAGCAGTTGACCAACAAAAACGGTAAGAACGACACTCGGGAACCGAATGTAAAACGAAAGCGACCGCTTTCCGAAGGAACAACAGGCTCATCCAAGAATGGGCTCATAATTCGCCAATGGAAAACGACCACAACTAGATAGCAGGAGTCTCAAGTTCAGATGTAAACTGCGTGTCACCGAACCATTGACTGGTGATACGTTATATTAGATACGCTCAGAAAGAGTGGCTTATCCAAATACTAAAGCTCAATCATCAGATGCTTCCTTCGCTCAAAGACATTAAGACGAATATTATGGACAGAACTTGATGCTCAAGAAGAAGAGAACCATTAGACATACTTCATTCATAATACCACAACGAATGGATATACTCAGTCATCACAGCTACTGCTGGACAAAGAGAGAAATGCAAGGACTGGTATAAACACTAAAACAAGGAGTCCCAATAATCATAGTCTTAT